TCATCTGTGATTTTGTTTTTTTTTTTTTTTTTTTCCCTCCTCCTTGCTAAGGTGCTTAGAGACACTGTCTTTCTGAAAGAGGCTGTGTTATAGCTAGAAAGTGAATATGCTAAACCCAAGATGGGCACTCATCTTCTTTGAATTTCTGCTGAACTTTCAGGTGGGCTTATAAACATGGAAGGATTTGCTAGCAAGGGGTGGTTGTACTGAACACTGCAGCTGTGTTTGGAGTGATTTTTTTCATGTTCCTGGCTGAGTAATTCAGCCTGTAACTGTACAGTGGGGCTGGCTGCTTTTGTAGCACAGGATAAACCCAGCTTTGTTCACAATGCATTAACTTTAAGCTCTGCTCCCCCTCCACTGCCAGCCCTTCTCCACCCGGAGAAAAAACTCCTTATTCCTGCCCTAGTCTGGTACAGAGCTGTGGTTAGTGGCTAGACTCCATGTTGTGAGTGTGCTGCCTGCCACCGAATCAGCTCTGAGCTCTACCTATTGGGTAGAAACGAGCAGGATTCTTGCTCATTCTCAGTGTTTTGGTCTTGGACCTGTAGCCTCGTGCGCCCCATAGTGTCTTCTGCTTGGGTGAGCAATCCCTTGAAGTCAGCAGAACTACTCGTGGCACGAGTGTTTGCAGTGTTGGACCCCTAGTCTGTACCTTTTCCTGTTGTTGCTTTGCCTCCCTGCAAACTGCATGTTATTGAGAGCAGCCTCCTGACTCCTTGGCTGTGTTTGCTTTGCACTTCGGGCTACGCGTCATGTAGCTTGTTTGCTGGGCTCCAGTCTCTGAGCTGTTTTGCAGTAGTGAAGAGCCAGACCCACTTGCACCTTCTCCCTCTGTCCCCCTTGTCCTTTTTTCTTGCACTCTCAGGCCGAGAGATTTTGAGGGCCGTAGAGGAGTTAGGTTCCCAGGTTCATTGCATGTCCAGGGGATGAAATCCCCAGGCCTTAGTGTCTCTCTTGCTCATCCACTCTGTTTTCCTGCCCTTGGGTTTGTGCCTTCTTTTGTCTTCTTCCCTGGGCTCAGAAGCCCTTCCTGCTTCAGCGGAGGTGATCCAAAGAATGGCTTTGCTTCCTAGGCTTTCCTCTGCACATGCTGATATCAGCAAAGTGTCTGGCAGCACCTGCTGGCCTCTACTCCTGCATCTGTGCCGAGAAGCATGCCATGCACATCACTCCGGGTACGAACTGTGGGACCCAGACCAAGAAGCATATCCAAAGATAGTAGCATGGGGGGTGTGCTTAGGTCTGCTCTAAGGTGGCCACCTTGCCATGTTCTCGGTAGGGCCAGTGGGTGGCAGATGCTTTTTGATAGGAACCCCAGGCTTGGAGGTTGCGTAGACAGGCCTTGTGTTTGCAGCTTGTCAGGTAGGGCACAGCTTGCACTGCTGCAAGATTTGGATTTCAGACACCACGTGTATGTTTTTATTGGTAGGACAATAGCCTTGACTGACATCAGGGCCCCATTATGGCTGCTGTGTATTCATGAAGAGAAGATTCCCTGCCTCAAAGCTTCTCATAGCCTGAAGAGCTACATACCCAAAGGGTGGGAGGCGAAGAGACAATGTTAGCTGCTAGCAGGATGAAGCACAGGGAGGTTCTGCTGTTCAGGGCTCTTGGGCTAAGAACCAAACACTGATTTCCAGCATCCCAGTGCAATAGCTTAACCCAAAGGCCACTCTTCCTTTCCAGTCCAGCTGGGGTTGATTGCATCTGGATTTGATTTGGGGTTTGTATGCTTGATTGTGCTTTTCTGTTTGAGCTGGCTTGAGCGCTGCTGCTGTCTTTTAATGGATTCTCCAAAGCACAGTGGTTCTCAACCTTTTTTGTACCAGGACCCATTTATAAACATTGATGGCCAGTCCCGACCCAGTAGATGGTTTAAGTGGAAAATATACAAGTATTTTGGCCCCAAAACGCTTATTACATGTAACGGTCTTAATTCTAAAGACAGAAATCAACATCAACAGGAAAGCATTAACAGCAATACCAACATGTGACCCTCCATTACTCCCAAGTGACATTCATCAATGGGCAATTTGCACAATGCAGATTGCTGGTGCCTCTTACTCTTGACTCGCAGCCCCTGGGCTTGCTGGTACCTCTCACTCCCAACTCGCAGCCCCATGGCCCTGCCAGTGCCTTTCAGTCCCAACACCTAGCCCCTTACTCCCCTCCACCCCCCACCCCGGCCCTGCTGGTGCCCCTCACTCCTGATGTGCAGCCCCCAGCCCCCCAGTGTGTCGATCAAGGCAGGGAGTGCCCCTAGTGGGCACGGGGCTCCAGCCTGGCCAGACTAGTATGAGCAGGAGCTGCCTCTGCGGCCCAGCAGACAGGACCCAGAGTGGGGCATTGAGACTTGCTGCTGCCACCAAAACCCTCACACCAGCTGTGTCATCAGCAGCGCAAGGAGTAATGGGGGCAGGGCAGTGCTGGCCTCATCTTCTCTCAGTGCCAGCCACGTGCGTGCCAGGCTATGACTCTGCCACCATGGCCTGGCTGCTGCCGCTCTCTTCAGGCCTCTTGCTTTGCCTGCCCCCCACCTTCCCTCCAGAGTAGAGCCATAACCTGAGGGGAGTGGTGGCAGAAGGAGGAGCACGGCTCCACCCCCAGCAATGAGTCTCACCATCCTGCTTTGCCCTCCTGCGCCAGTCTGGCTAGGCTGCAGCCCCATGTCCACTATGGGTGCACAAATCTAGGGGGCATGTGCCCCCCCGATGCATTGTCTGTGTTTCCCCTGTTGCCCCATAGACTTATCTGCGGGGAGCTGCTCTCTGCATTGCCTGGCTGCCATGTGCATGTGTGCATACGCACGTAACGTAGCATCCCCTGCCTGATCCCCTGCACTCTGCCAGCCAGCAAGGGGAAATCATGGCTTCCCATGTTTTTCTCTTTTAAAGGAGAAAATCTGTGACTTTCCACATTTTTCTATGATTGTTTGTAACCCTTTCATATATTCTTGCGACCCGCTTTTGGGTCATGACCCATGGGTTGAGAAACGCTGGTCTAACTTAAAAAGTATACTCTGATTGTAACCAGTAGACAAGATTGCCACACACGTGTCCCTGGTTTTATAACCTGTCTGGAGCCTACCCATGTTGGCTCAAGCTGCTGTGCATTCAAGCTTTGTGTGTGCTGTGCGCCGCTTACCTTGGGCACCTAAACCTTTGCTGCAATATGGCTTTGGAAAATGCATAGTTAGTTAATTAGTTTCCCATTGGCAGCCCTGGGTCTTGGAACTGCTCACAGTACCCCAAACTCACTAGCTCTGTCCGTCACTGGAGGCTCTTGAATAGCGGTGGTCGGTTTGCTTTGGTTTTAGGTCTTTACCCTTCTGCCTTCAACTTCTTTTTCTTCCAAGATCCAGCCTCTTTTCCACCCCTTTCCCTTGTGTCTGGGCAGGGCAGTTGCTCAATGCCACCAGCTTGAGAGCAGGACTTGGTCAGAGGTCGCTGAGCTGGCAGCCTGCGGAGGACTGGCTGGTGGCTGTGTGCACAGCAGCCTCTTCCTCAGGTCCTGCTTCCTTCCTCCGTCCAGTGGCTGGGGCGTATTAAAAGAAACTAAAAATACCCTGAATGTCATTATCCCGATGGCTGTTTAAGCAGTGGCTTTTGTTGGCAGAGGGAATTTCTGTGAGTGTGATTAGAAGGGAAGGTTGAGGTTGTGCAATTGCATGCATGTGTAAAGGGAACACCCGGAGAAAGGGAAGCTAAGACACTTATTGCTTCATCAAGGCTTCCCATGTGGAAGCCCAAGAGAATAAAGATGCTAAGCTTTTCAAACAAGGTGCAAATGTCCTTGCTGTCCTAAGAAGGCTGCACTGATGCAGATGCACAATGTGTGAGGGACCCTTTGCTTTTGTGGGCAGCTCTTTGGCCAGGGAACTCCAAATGCCTTATAAATATGAGCAAATCAGGCCTTGCACCACCCCACTGAAGCCAGGGGTGCTTTACCTCTCAGGAAAGGAACTTGCACCTGGAAAGGGTTTTCCCCACAATCGTCCCATCTGACTGGGGCGGAGCTGGGAATCGCTCTTGTTTGAACGTGAGACTGTCCACACTATTCAGGCGTGTTGAACCAGCTGAAGGGCAGAGCTTGTCTATTCCTGTCTGGAAACATTTTGAATCTCTTTTGCCTTGGAAGTGTAGTGCTGGTATGGGGGGGGATGGACACAACTGCTAGCTATGTTGTGCTGTTGAGCCAGATTGGCTGCTTTGGAAGGTACCTGGGTGGCCACTTACAGAAAGGGCTGTCCCTCTCATTGACACCTAGGGACTGTGTGCCGTGATTGCACAGACACTGTACCTGTAGTGTGCTTGGTAGAACAGTTCCTGTACCTGTAGTGTTCTTGGTAGAACAGTTAGGCCCGATCAGTCTTTTCTTGCCACTTCTCTGTTTCCATAAATTAATTGGCAGCAGTGTAACAGGGCAGTATCATTTCTGCCCTTCTGCAGAGAGGTGTGGTGGTTAATGTTCATATGTACTGCTCAGTCTATGTGCCACCCCTCCTCCACCTGACAGTGCACCCCAAATTTCTTAAGGTATCCTGGCTGCCACATCTGTGGCAATTACTGAGGGCTTGCTGCAAAGCCCAGGCAACCCTCTGAGAGTGTATTGGGAGCCGTGAGAGCCCAGGGCTGTTAGGTAGCTACCCCTGGGAGAGACTGAACAGCTGCGACACCCACCGCAAGGAATGTTACCTGGAGGAAACTTGCCTAATCACAAACGGCGATGCCTGTTAGGTACAACCACCTGCGCTCAGAGCTCAGCTGAGTCACCTTTCCTTTTTCCTCAGGCCCAGTATGTCTGGCTTGCACCTTGTAAAGCAAGGCCGAGATCGGAAGAAAGTTGACTTGCAGAGGGATTTCACTGTGGCTTCCCCAGCTGAATTCGTTACTCGTTTTGGGGGGAATAAAGTCATTGAGAAGGTGAGTGACTGGCTACCTGGAACAGTGCTTGCTGTGTCCTTGCCATGCTCCCTGCAGGTTACTCAGGGGAGACATCAGTGGTTCTAGAGCAAAAAGCTGCATTTCTGCCTGTAATGTTTCTGCTCTTACTGTTAGTTTAATGCTGTGTCTCATCAGTTTTGCCTGATGTGATATAAGCAAAAAGCTCGATGAAGTTGAAGCAGATTTCCAATTGTGGGTGTTAGAAACATATCTTGAATGACCTAGTGCTTCTCTGCTGCCAGAGTAGGAATATGTTTAATAATGTTTTGTCCAGTCCAGTTTGATCCCTCTGAGGCAGTGGTTCTCCTGCTGGTTAGACTAAGGGCACCTCTCAGAAAATGTCAGCTCCACCTTTCATCCATTTTTTGACTATGGAAAAATAATAGGGCAATTTCTGTGTTGCAGAGAACTCAGAAAGCCCACAAGTCAAAATGGTTTTGGGCCTCTGGATTGCTGTTTTGAAATCTATGGGTTTATCTTGGAAAACATACATAGATGTTTGCACACTTAACAGTGCTAATGCTGTGCGGCACCTTTAAAAGGATCTCGTGGCACTGCAGGATGCCACAGCACCCTTGTTGAGAATCACTGCTCTAATGGGAGAGGTCCCATTTTTCCTTCCCTTGCCATTTACATGCTGTTGGCAAGAACTTGTTTCCAGTACAGTCATACCTGCTCAGGGTCTTCTGTGGTTCGGTGGTAGGATCTTTGTGTGCTGCACAGGAGACCTGGGTTCGATTCTCAGACAAATACAGCCATGGAGGCACCAAATGTCTGGACTCAATCTGGCCTTTGGATTCTGTCTCAGTGGCCTAAAGGGGGGATGGAAGAGGTCTGGGCAGCCTCCACTCCTCCAAAAAAACTAGCCGTATTCATCAAAGGTCTGGGTGATCGATCATGCGTACACCATGACCTGGAATGATCGACAGTCAAGCAAGAACTAATTTTGGAGTTGGCTGATCTAGAAGGGGAATGCTCTTGTTGAACTGAGGTCTTTCTTGGCTTTTTCTTGGGACCCTCTTTCTTGTTGTCTACTCCCTGCCCTCTTTCTAATTCACCCAGGTCCTTATCGCCAATAATGGGATTGCGGCAGTGAAATGCATGAGGTCCATCCGACGCTGGTCCTATGAGATGTTTCGAAATGAGCGTGCCATCAGATTCGTTGTCATGGTGACTCCTGAAGATCTGAAAGCAAATGCAGGTGAACTGTAAAAATCAGTGAGGGTCAACGGTGCACTTCTTCCCTCAAAACTGCATGTGGCAAGGGACCCTGTATTGCTTTGCTGTCCAGTGACAGGTTAACTTGGAAGGAGATTAAGCACTTTCATCTGAAACCAGCAAGAATGCAGAGCCCTTGTTGGGTGATCTCAAATGAGCTGTTGAGTAACTGACTCATTAAAAACCCTTTCAGAGCTGACCGGAAGATTTCCTATCTCAAGCTCTGGGCTCTGTTTGTTATCACACTTTTAACTTTGACCCACATTCACTGCAAATAAGATGCAAGTATAGAAAACCTTTACTGAGTGCTTGCTTTCTGTCTTAAACCTGGCAACCTTTTGAGATAACCTTGGTACTAAAGGCAAATGCAAGTTAAGCTGAGTGTATTGGACACACAAGATTACTTCTGGAGTGTTTTATTTCCTCACAGATGCAAATATGCATCGATCTGTGACTAGGAACTATGTTTACTGATCTCCTTTAGGGGTGAGAGCAATCTAGGTGTCTCAGCAGGGGCTTTTGGGGAGTGAAAGCCTGGGGATTCAGCTGTTGGCATGCAGTTCTTGGCTCTGCCAGTGACTTGCTGTGTAACTTTGGCCAAAACACTTAACCTCCACTCCCCTTCCCCCCTCCTTCAAATAGGGAAGAGCACTGAACTGCTTCATAGAAATGTTTGGGGGTTACATGGTCTACTAGTTGTTTGTAAGAGACTTTGGGGCCAAAAATACATCTCTGTCGTATACACATGCTAACTGTTGTTCAGTGAAATCCTGAGGGTTCATCAAGTCAGAGGGAGGAAAGCTCAGTCAGGATTTCAAGATTTGTCTTGTCATATGTTTTGGGTGGATTTAACATTGAATGTTGTGTGACAGACCCAGGAATTAAATGTAGCTCTCTTTGTGTCTACAGAGTACATTAAAATGGCTGATCACTATGTCCCTGTGCCAGGAGGGCCAAACAACAACAACTATGCAAATGTTGAATTGATTCTGGATATCGCAAAACGGATTCCAGTGCAGGTGAGAGAGGCCACAGGCAGAATTTACTGCTTGAAAGGCACAACTGAGCAATGTGTGCTCTGACCGTGAGTCATGAGGTCAGAGAAATGGTATGGGGAGCAGCAGACATTTGGGAATAATCACAGAAGTGATGAAGGATGCCATGCAGTGGGATGGGGTTGGTTTCCCAACTACAGGTGCTTGCAGCGGATACTGTGGTACCTAACACATCTCTGCTAGAGTGCCACAAAGCTTGTTACACTGGTGTCTTTTTGAGGGGACTTGGCTGCAAGATGTGGTGTGCTCTCTGAACTAAGTGCTAGTTGCACAATCAAGTTTATAAATGATGCAAGATTGGAACCTGTTTGTTGGGGAAAGGACATTCTCGAAGCTCCCTCTTTTTGATGGTGGTATTATTATTTGAATTGTTTCCCGACTCCTTTTGCAACTGTGAGGAATGAATGATGTTGTATTCCCCTCTAGGCTGTGTGGGCTGGCTGGGGTCATGCTTCTGAGAACCCCAAACTACCAGAGCTCCTTCACAAGAATGGAATTGCCTTCATGGGTAAGAACACATTAATTTGGCTCTGAAGCGTGCTGAAGTGTAATTCTGTCTACACCTCGCTTATAACCATGTGTTCAAAATGATAGAAAACCCAACACCTAAGAGAAAGAGCTGTACCCTAGAGCTTATGAATACAAGCCCAGCAGAAGTACTCCGGGCAGTACACCCTGCCCCTTTATGGCAGTAAAATGTACTTCCCAGTGAGAGAATCTCTTTCTGCTAACCAAAGGGAAAAAGATTAGGAATTAGGAAAGACTTTTTCTTGGGGTAAGGTTTGGGATTGGGATTGTGTTGTGCTAAGAAGATTCATTACGCTTCTCATATACAAAGGGATGCTGTGTCTTCTAGCAGCCTCTGGCTAGTTCTTATTAGAAGTAGGTCCAAACTGCCTGAGTCATATCTGCAGGTTGCTGAAGTTCTGGGGTGCTTGGTTTCAGGCCTGCCTCCAGTGCTTATTTTTTTTGCATTTTGTATGTTGCTTCTTTTGAGTTTAAGTAGGTGTTGGGAAGGATGAGAAAACCAGCACCTTTTTGGGTGTCTCAGTTTGTTAATTGAGCTAATAAATAGGTTCGGTGGTCTGGGGAACAGTGTCAGGTGTGCGTTAAGATACAAGCTCAGAAAATCCTGTTAAAGTGGAAATTCCTTTCTTCCTCCCCCTCCACCCAAAGTAAAAAGCCTCTCATTAATTTTAAAGAGCAAGTGTCTAAATTAGGCCTGGTTAAGTGCTGCTGAGCTAAAAGGTAGTACATGAGTACTGCTGTCTGGGAAACAGCATCATTGGCCTGACTGCCTGAGTTGCTCAGGGTAATATGATGCATATACTAGAAATCGCATAATATCTTCAATGTTATGATATTCATAGAGGAATTTGAATGTTGTGTATAATTTTGATCCTTGGGGTATGTTTAAACTAAAGATGAGCCTGAACTGTAAGGCCAGTTCTGAACATGTTCCTCCCACGCCTGAACTTCAGGGCTGCTTGTCCCCCAGTTCTAGATTTCATGACTGACCTTTTCTGTATAATGAGCCAAACTATAACCTTGACCATCGGGAAAGTCTGGATGCAAAGGTGGTGGCTCGGACTTGCCTCTTATTGGACAGATACTTCAGTGCTATGCAAGGAAACTTCTAGTAAAGTCAGTCCAAGTTCTGTATGTGCAAAATGTACAGAACTGAGACTTCATTAGGAAACTGAATTACTATTCAGGAAGAGACTTAAGGTAGAAACTTAATACCAGTTACTCTTTGCAAGAGCCCAGGGAGCCAGGGTCATCCAGGAGAGACTGGACAGTATATGCAGGATGAATGGGTGAGGGAATAGCACTGCCTGGGAGTGGAGCATGCCAAAAATGTTCTTGTTAATAGAATGTGGTAGGGTGATGTTACATAGCCTGTCCTGCATCATGCACCTTTCTTGTTTTTTCAGGTCCCCCAAGCCAAGCCATGTGGGCTTTGGGGGATAAAATTGCATCTTCAATAGTGGCTCAAACAGCAGGCATCCCAACTCTCCCCTGGAGTGGCAGTGGTAAGAAAATGAGTCTTGGTTGTACCATGAAGATTACTGTTATGTTCTCCTTTCCTTGCTGCCTCCCTAATCCCTCCCCCCCACTCCTGTTTAGGACATGCCTGTGAACTATTAAAAATCAGTCTATTAGATGTGGCCAATTTGCTGTATGTGATCCCATGGGCTTTGTGATTCCTGTGCAATTCAATTAGATTGACTGTCAGTCTTGGTTGGGGGCTTCCCAAATCCCCAAACTCCTCCTTCCTTTCTCTCCAGTGTTGGGTTTTCAGTGCCTAGATGCAAGTACTCCAACAAGGGAGATGGTAGAGAGCAGTACGTGCAAGAGATGCTGTATTTTGTTACTTCATGGGGGATGTTTGTATTTCAGGCCTTCGTGTGGACTGGCAGGAGAATGATCTTCAGAAGCGCATCTTGAATGTCCCGCAGGAGCTGTATGAAAAGGGTTATGTGAAGGATGTGGACGATGGGTTGCGGGTAGGTGGATGCTTGGATGCCCTTGGCCTATGCTAGAAAGAATGACTTAGCTACACAGCTCAAGAGGCCGGGTGGTTTGATTGCCAGTGGAATTCAAAGCATGATTTTTCTCATGTGACTGACAGCATTTCCTGTTTCTGGCACCGGCCAGCATGCTGAAGGGCAGAGGTGTGTGAAAATCTGGGATAGGGGAAGGTAGGTGAAAATGAAGCTGTGCCTTGCTGCGGGCTCTGTTTTGGTTCTTGATTTATGTTCAAGGAATGTCTCTTTGTTTGGTTTGCTTGCCCTTGCTTTAACCCTTCTTTATTTCTCCAAGGAAACTTGGACCACTAGAAGGGTTTTTTGGTCACAATTTGAGCTTTTGCGAGGGAAAGAGGGAACAGGGAAACAAAAGTCAACTATTTCGTTATACCTTAGTAGCTCTTATGTGCTTATCTAACACTTTTCTATCTAATTCATAAGTCTTAAGTCAATATGGGCAGCAAGAGAAAACATTTTGGGGAAGTGGCACCTGTAGAGGCTAACATCATTATTAAAGTAATGAGCTGGCAGCATGTGTTTCTTCTTCAAATGTCCCTTGCTTCCCAATTGGAGATCTGTATAGGGGCCAAAGGAGTGTCTGTGAATCTAGACCTTATTTCAGAAATGCTAAGAAATTGTCTTATGATGGCATGTTCCTTTGACACCTGCCAACAAGGAAATGGAGTGAAGTTCCCAACTCCTGTGAGCAAGCTGCTGAACAGCCTTTATGTTTATCCTGTGTTTTCTCTTCCTGCCTTGGTCAGGCTGCTGAGGAAGTTGGCTACCCAGTCATGATCAAGGCCTCTGAAGGTGGAGGAGGAAAAGGAATCAGGAAAGTTAACAATGCCGATGATTTCCCCAATCTCTTCAGACAGGTAACTCTCTCTTTCATTTGGGATGTCCTGTTTCTGGCATGGAAGTCACCACAAATGGTCTGAATGACTTGGAGGGAGATTCTCAGGGAACTTGAGTAGCCAAGAAAACCTGTGTCACATCCATCAATGCTCTGAACTCTAGAGACCTGACAGCTTTGCCTTAGAGCCATAGTTCTTTCACTAGGTTTTCCATCTGTCTAGAAAGACCACAGTTTCCCAATTGTCATGGGAGAAACTGAATAATCTGCTTCCTAGTAAGCACGAGAATACTCCATAATTGTAGCTACTACTAGATGCCGACTGTCACGACCCAGTTTTGTCTAAATGAGGTTTAGATAATGGAGGATATACTGTAATTATGCATACCTGAAATACAGGATGGTTCCAGCAATTAATGGCTCAAAGCAGATCTTGCAACTGTTCATCCTGAAAGAACATACTTGAAGTAGTTACGGATATTCAGGGAGAACTGATTTCTCTCTTGGTATGAAGTGTTCTTACAGCATGGCTCTGGGTTTGTGGCCATTGTCAGATATTGCAAGGTTGTGTTCCTTTTTTGTGTCTGTGTGGCAACAAATAGCAGCACTTTTTTTTCATCTCTGCACTTTTTCCCCCTCTGTTATGATCCTCGTGCCATCTGATGCTGAGGGAAAGTTTTGGATTCCTTTAAGAGGAGCGCATTTCCATAAAGAGGCAGCAGACCCTAGAACATTGCCAGAGCTCAATTTTACCAGAATGTACCTTATTGCTTAGTCTGCACAGAGATGGTTAGAGAGTTTGTTTTGGCTTAGAAATCGCTATGTATTAGCAGAACACTCCTGGACCTTGCATTCATTTTGGCTTGGCAATCAATTTTGAGCCTCAAATATCCTTTCCCATCTATGAGATTGGAAGAGGGGCCTGGTGGTCTTGTAGCTACATGGAAGCATTGGCCATCTGGAGTTCTGAGCCTTGTTGGTATTCCCAGCTTTGCCACAGCCTTCCTTTGAGACCTAGAGCAAGTCACTTATTTCCTCTGTTCCTCAGTTTCTCCATCTGCAGTAGGATTAAAATAAGTTCCCATCTTTGCCAAGTGGTGGGAGAGTTAGCTCAATCATACTTGTAAAGTGCTTTGAGTCCTTGGGAGGGAGGTGGGAATGCAGAATGTTCCCATTTCTAATGTTCGGTCATGTAGGTGAGACCCTGTGCCAGTTCTTTACAATGTGAACAGCTGCTTACAGCGAGGCAGTTGGGGAAGTAAGGAGGAGGGGAAGCAGAGTTGGTTTGCATTACTGTCTCTGTGGCAGGTGCAAGCTGAAGTCCCGGGCTCGCCGATCTTCGTGATGAGACTGGCCAAGCAGTCCCGCCACCTGGAGGTGCAGATCCTTGCGGATCAGTATGGCAATGCCATTTCCCTCTTTGGCCGTGATTGCTCAGTGCAGCGCAGGCATCAGAAGATCATTGAAGAGGCTCCGGCGTCCATTGCTACCATCGTGGTGTTCGAACACATGGAGCAGGTCTGTGTGGTTTGGTGGAGTCTCATTTCTTTGCCTTTTGAGGAGAAAAAGTGCAGCCCAGAAAGAGCAGTTCTCTGACTTCCCAGACTTCAAAACCAGTAGCAATTGCTTAAAATAGCATGGAGTCAGCATTTGGAGATGAGCACTTACATTTCCTGGACAGTTGTGTAGCTTTTTTTGTGCCACAGTGTCCTGTATCAGAAGTGTACACGTTATTTTAGTAGTGATGGAAATCAGCTCTTGGTGTTTGGCTTCTGAAGACGTCTGAGAAGTTTGCTGGTCAAATTTGTTGAATGATTTGCAGTATGGTTTTGTGCTGGTTGGTTTGAGTTTAAAAGGGGGACTGAGTAAAACACATACCTCCCCCCCACTACCTTCAGTTTACCAAACGTCCATTGTTTTTTTTAAGGGGAAGACCATGGGACCTAAAGCATTTTTGCCCAGTAATCCAAAGTGGTCAGTGACCATTGATATACATACTGATGCATTCACAGAAAGGTGCAGGGAGCTGTCAGATTCCTTCTGAGTAAGTTCTACAGGGGTTAATAAATTTCCCTTTAAAAACTGTAATTGAAGAAGCTGTGAAATTATTCCTTCTGCCAGGAATTGCTCTGAATGAGGTGCCTCTCATACTTGGGGTTATGTTAGGTTTCCAGCAACAAAGATTGAAGTGGATGGGAGTGATGGATAGAGCAGTAGTGGTTGAAATTGGAGAAGTCGTGCTTAACATTTTCCCCATGCCATGTTTCAGTGCGCGGTAAAGCTTGCCAAGATGGTGGGGTATGTGAGTGCTGGGACAGTGGAGTATCTCTACAGCCAGGACGGGAGCTTCTACTTCCTTGAGCTGAATCCCCGGCTGCAGGTAGAACACCCCTGCACGGAGATGGTGGCTGACGTGAACCTGCCTGCAGCACAGCTTCAGGTGAGTCATCTGGTCCAGGCCTACAAAGTTTTTAAGAGAATTTAGTGTGGGATGTTAGAGCTGTCTGAACATGTAAAACCTGCTCTGCCAGAGTCTGTGTAGGTGAGACTCTCACCGGAGTCACTCCCACTACTTACGGTATCCTTAAGTGAGTCGTACTCTCATTGTACAAGAGAGCAAGTAACAAGACTGATCTGAGAGAAAGCATGAAGCCAGAGATCATGTTAACAGCAGAGCTAGTACATATGGCCCATATGCTCATGTATACTTAACTGTCCCAGATAGAGGTCAGCCCCTTGATCTTTCTGCAGCACTGAAAAGTGCTTGGCCATTGTGGTGGTGTGTTTGATTCAATGAGATATCCAGATTTGTTGGCTCTTCTGAGGAAAGAAGTGGCTTGTTCACTTTTATAATGCAAAGGCTGTTTGTCAAGTTGGCTCTTGGAATACCCCAAGGGGTCACCCACTGTGTTACTTCTATAATATGCATTGGCTGCATGCAGCGGGGACACCTTATGTCCTTCCTTGCTTCTCAGCAAGTTCTCTGTATGCAGTCTTCCTGTTTGCCTCTATTTCAAGGATGCCCTCCAGCCCCATCTCCTGTTCCTCTTACCAGGTTTCTGTGTGAGCCATCATTGTCCTTTTCTTTCCACGTGTGGGTATCCATTCTGCTCCCTATCAGAAGTCCTTGTACCCTCTCACCCCCACTGCCAGGACCTTTGTGTGCATCTCTGTTCCCTCCCCACATACCAGGCTCCACCATTCTAAGGTGTCTTCATCTTTTTTTTTTTTTTTGTTTCCTCCCAGCTTACAGGGTGCCAGGCTTCTTAAATTGTAATGGCTTGGATGAACAGAGCGGAGATAAGGTGCACTGTTTAGATGGACAGCTAGAGAGATGGTAGCTCTGTTGACCAAATGCCAAGCTCACTGTGCCCCGAACCCTCCCTTTCAGTTTCATTTTTCACCATAATTGTTTGGGGCACATACATTTTTGTGCTCTGATGTGCTGGAGATCCGGTGCATTAGAGCAGACTCAATTAATCGAGTCTGCTCCACATGCGAGCTGATGCATACTGTGCTCCATCGCATACAGTTATATAAGTGGCGAAATGCTTGTCAGTGCGCAGAAAATGGCGGCGATGCACTTCTGAACTAAAATACCTTTTGCCGCTTATACAACTGCATGTAATGCAGCACCAGGTGCTTTTGAAAGCACCCGGTGCTGCAGCACAAATGTGTACAAATGCCATACAATTCTGCCCGATGATGCCTAGGACACCTCCTGACATTTTGAAAGTGATCAGAAGATGCATTTAGATGTGATTGCATTGGGTGACAGACTGAACAGTGGACACCATCAAATTGAGTGCACTGCTTTGCAAAGCTCACCCCAACAAAAAGGTGACCTTCCCCCTCCCCTCCCCACCTACCTTTCCTTACTGCAAAGATTCACTGTCATAGTGCTGGCAGTCAACACTCCAGCCACATGCTGTTTCAGCAGACGGCCCGGTCATCTCCACTTGGCCCAGCTGCCATTCATCTTTGGAGTCATTTCGTTATCAGATTTTGCTGGAGCTCTCTACCTGCCAAGACGTCTAGAATTCTTCAGCTGTTCAGATGCCTTCCTCGTTTGCTTGACACGCATCTCTGCCCATCTTGTTAGTCCTGAGACTTCTGAGGAAACTGAGATAGCTCCCTCATGTGCCAGATGCTTAGGCACTTGGGTCTGATCAGTCTGCAGTGCTGCCTATAGTCCCATTGCCTACTTTGCCTGACATAATTTCATAGAAGTACAGTTAGATCCTGCCCCTGAATTTAGAGATTACCAGTCAGCTGTGTAGTGGTTAGGATTCTGTCAGCCGTTTCTAGGCCTCAGGGTTCATTTAGAGTATCTTGGACTTGCACCTTGAATGGGTTACCCATCCTGCAGATGGGATATGTGCATAGTTCACATACACAGGGGGCCTATCTTGTCTACTGGAGAAGCAGCACGATTCGAGAAGTAGGGCACAGGACAGGTAGTTAAAGGGTTATGATTCTATTCCCACCTGTTCCATAGGCTCTCTGTTTGAGCCTGGGCTAATGACTTCCTTTCTGGATGTTCATAGTTTCATAGTTTCTAGGGTCGGAAGGGACCTGAGAAGATCATCTAGTCCGACCCCCTGCCATGGCAGGAAAGAGTACTGGGGTTAAATGACCCCAGCAAGGTGTTCATCTAACCT